TTTGTGGGGTATGTGAAAGAAAGGGTTTTTAATCGTGAATGTGATAGTGCTGAAGAAATGCGCCAAAGGATCGTGGATGCTTTCGAGAAACTACGTACGGACTGTGTCGAAGACCACACGATGATGCCCCGCCTGCTCCCAAATCTACCTTGAAATGAATGGAGCACAATTTGAGCCGCATCTCATAAGACCACGGAGGATTTAGAGCGGTAAGCTGTTTCATACCTATTTTTTTTTAAATAACTTAGTACTAGACTAATCTGAATAGGTACATAACTGAATACATGAGAATAATAAACATACCTACACGATGAATAAAAACTCATGACTCCAACCTTGGTTACATTTCATTTAAGTATTTTTTCATTAGCGGGGAATCGAACCAGTTATTTGGGTTATTTAACCTGTAAATTCAGATTAAAGTGGCTAAGTGGAGACAAGCACAGTGGCAAAATAGTAGGTTAAGTAGATAAGTTAGGTATTTAGACAAGTCTTGTAAATTATTAGATATTGTGGTATGGCCCGCTAGTTGCGGGCCGCGCGAATTTGCGTTCGCGCGTACATTGACCTTTCAGTCAGGTGATATAAATTCAGTCATTCCACTGCTGGTTTTATGTTTCAGTATTTTCATGATATATTTTATGAAATTATCGTTTCATTTAGCTGTACTAACATGATGGCGCGTGAATAAAGCTAATAAAACGTTGTAAAAAGATGATTTTTTTTTTCATCAGGATCGAATTTATTTGTGACCCATGATCAAAGGTGTACTTGGTGTTGTCGCCTGTCTTAGTTTTCGGGAGCGTTCCAAAAATACCCTGTATATATATATATATATATATATATATATATATATATATATATATATATATATATATATTTTTTTATAACATCAGAACATAGGCCTCCCCTAAGGAATGCCAGAAAAGTACGGGGTACGAGGCTAACACTCACACACGTGTAGTGATTGAGCACTTTTAATCGACATCCTTTTAATTGCGTCCAATTAATCGGTTAGAAAGGGTAAATCTTCAAGTATATTAATTATTTATCAAATATTATTATATAATTAAATAATAATAGCAAATACACTCTTTTTGAATGGCTCTGAATATGTATAAAACTTAATTTTTAAAACGAGGTAGATGTCTTTTTTATTATCATGATATTATATTTTGTTTAAATTTTTTTTGAGTAATAAGTAATACGGCTCGTTCTTTTATCACTGTACATATTTGTCCTTTCTGCTAGGCTTTGACGGATGTTTATCTCAGCATAAAGAAACTTGGGTTCGAAACCTATACCTGTGCAACTCGCATCAGGCTATATTTAACTAATCGGTCACATCATATTATGATATGACACTTAACAGATATCTCCATGTTTATAGTAGAAATATGCCAGTAGACTTATAATGATATAAAACCATGCGATAATTTATCAGAAAATAATGAAGAATCCAAACCCTTTTTTTTATTATGTCCGATGCTTTACGTGCATAAAATTCGTCTTTAAATTTCTCCAATAATATATAATTTGTTCTAGCTTATTGTGATCGATTTTGATGTACCTACAGTCTATAACGTGCTCCATATTGTTGCTATTAGAATTTAGGATTTGAATTAACCAATTAATTAACACCTATCAAAGAAACTGCACCGAAATATTAATTAAGGATGCACATTCACCTTGTATAAACATTATTTTGATCTTTATTTTCGTATCCATTATAATAGGCTATTATATTATATGCTTTTGTATATATGCGTGTACGTGCGTGCATACATATATGCGTGTGTGACTGTTGACATGTATGAACATTTAAATGACTGAATCTTATCAGACATCATGGTGATCAATGCTCAAGTAATACAATTGCGTAGTGTGTGAATGCAAGTGCACCGAGATAAGGTGCTATTAAAACTTTTAAAGTTAAATTTTCAACTTAGAATTACCTCTTGTCTACGGTGAAGGTAACGTGGAAAAGTCCATATTATTTGGTATGACATTTTTAAAATCACACGCCGAACAAACACGCCGCCGACAAGATGTATTAACGCCAAAAATATCTTTCAATAGAATTTACCGTCAAGAAGTTTCTGTTACCGGTCTAGTTGAATGGACAGAATATTTGTCTTACACATAATATTGAAGAAAGGAATATATTGATTTTAAAAGTGATAGTTTATTTCTTAAGTGTTCATGGATAGAATAATGCTATCTTTATATATAAAATTTCGAAGTGCGTGTGTTCATAATTCCTACTCCTTAACGGCTTGATCGATTTTGACGGAATTTTTATGGGGTCACCTGGATGGTTCTTATAGTTCTATAGTTTGAGCTGGTAGGTGGCACTGTTATCAAGATCCGGAAGTCACTCGAGCGAAGCCGGGATGGATCGCTAGTGAAAATAAATAAGCGAAAGTACATTTTTAATTTCTCCTAAATCTCTATGAACTTTCAAAAGCAAGTGTTTTGGTGACGATTGGATGGCAATAAATTGTTGGTGAGGCAGTTTTGTTGTAGAATGTTCATCAATAATATTTGTAGAACTATAAGGTTAGCTTCAGAAAGAGAATAAACGAATTTTTAAGTAGACTTATCGCTAGCTTGGTATAAAATTTTAGTTTAGGTTGGTATAATCGGTCAAAATGAGAAAGACTGAAATGGGATGGACGTTTTAGAAGCGTTTACAAACACGCCAGTATTAATTGGATTGTTATTAGGGAGATGCTAAGTCCGATCGAATTATTAGCAGCTTTATTGTAATAAGTATATGGCTTTATTTGCGCTGACGTGTTGTGATATTTAATGTAACTTGTTAATGATATTTAATGTAACTCGAGAACCTTTCTTCCCCATCGGTTGTCGGTTCTTCAAGCTATATGGCCGGCTCATTGGCACCACAGCTTACTAATCCGTTAGGCTGTCGGTTACTCTGTTTCTACTGCGGATATCCTCATTTCTAAGTTTATCACGCAGAAAAATCACGACAATAGCCCCCTCTCCATAGCTTGCTAAGCGACCTTGAGCGTCCGCATACGGCCAATGGTGCAGGACCACGTCTCAGTTCCATAGGTCATCACTGGCAACACACATTGGTTTTACAATCTCGTTTTCAAGTTTTGAGGTAAATCTGACGAGAAGAGAAGATATGTGGTAATTTCCCGAACGCTGCCCAACCGAGTTGAATCCATCGATTGGCATCTCGGTCGAAGTTGGATTTACCTAGACGGACTATTTGTCCCAGCGCTTAGTGCTCCCAACAACTACCGGCATAGGTGTGACATGTACATTATACATGATCTTTGTTTTATCCATGTTCATCTTAAGACCTATCCGTTGGGAGACACTATTGACGTCATTGAGCATAGTGCTTAGGTCTTCCAGCGATTCTGCTATAAGGACCATATCGTCGGCAAATCGAAGGTAAATGATGCACTCGCCATTGATGTTAATACCGTATCCTTTCCAGTCAAGTAGCTTGAAAAAACCTTCCAAGACAGCGGTGAAGAGTTTCGGGGATATAACGTCACCCTGTCTTACACCTCTCTGCAGTTAGATAGGTTTCGTACTCTGATTCTGTACTCGGATAGCCATTGTAGCCCTACTGTACAAACACTTCAGCACATCGATATACTGACTGTCAACTTGGCATCGCTGAAGGGACTGTAGCTCCGCCCAAATTTCGACGGAATCAAAGGCTTTCTCATAGTACATATACGCAAGGCAAATTGGCAGATTGTACTCTTCTGTGTGTGAAGAAGACTGCACAATTTGCCGAAGGGTGTGTATTTGGGCTATGGTACTAAAGCCTCTTCGGAAACCGGCTTGTTCGGGAGGCAGGAAGTCGTCGAGTCTGCGTGCGAGACGATTCATAATGACTCCCGAAAACAGCACGTAGACGCGGCTCAGAAGGAAAATCGGTCTGTAGTTCTTCAAGAAAGCGTTGTCGCCTTTCTTGAAGAACAAGACCACCACACTTCTGCTCCGCGCCTCCGGAGTAGTCCCACCATGGAGGACGAAATTAAAAAGCTTCTGAAGGACTTCAAGTATCGGTTTTCCACCCGCTTTCAGAAGCTTCGCTGTAATCCCATCCTCACCTGGGGCCTTGCCGTTTTTAAGGAGCTGGAGAGCCATTCTAATCTCGCTCAGACTGAAGTCCGGGATATCATCGGAATAGTGTCGGATAAGACTGGCTCTTGGATCGTTCTCACACTTCTGTCCATAGAACATCTCAATATATATATAAATATAAATCTCATAAATGTTTTTCTATTTACGGTAAACTTAAGAAGAACATTCCTGATATATAAAGCGTATTATTTTTTTTATATCGCGATTTATACATCGGGCAGCAAATAACAACTCAGAATTATAAAAAAACTGCAGTTGCCAACCCGCCAAACTATGGCAAAATTCCCCTTATGAGGTAATGAACGTTTGTAGGCTGTAAATAAATGAATGAGTTATATCTATGCCAAATTTCAATCATCTACGTCAAGTAGAGCCTGAGAAAATTTCTGTGATACACATAAACATACGCAGGTGACTATATACTCTAGAAGTGATCCAATTTGCTAATTTTGGCCCATCCACAAAGCGAGTCTCGGGTAAAAAGCTAAGTATATAAATAAAAAGTTAAGTAGTATTACTGACAATAAAATATGTATTGTAGTATTGTACCGACTGTAGTTGTGATTACTTTTGAAGAAGTAAATAGTCTATAACATGGAAAAATAATAGTAAATCAATTAAAGTAAGTAAGTTTCACTTCTGGAGACTGACCTCCTCTCACTTTTAAGGAAATTTCGGTACAAGGACTTATAAATATATATAAATAGTATAGACATTATTATAACTATCTTACGAATTACAAAATATATAATTATGCTGATCACAAAGATTTATGTTAATGTGAAAAAAAAAATATAAATACATTTCATATTATGTTGTATTCAAAGTAAAAGTAAAAAAGTTACATAAGCCTACAAACATACCTGTGAATCGAGACCAAGTGTCAGTAACATCACAAAAAACAATATAGACCAGAGGGGCGCCACTGGAAGCCTGGTGACAACCTCCGGGTACACGATGAAAGCGAGCCCAGCTCCCTGATCTACGACGCGATCCACGCCAACGTTCAATTCGTGTGCCAAAAAACCGATCACAGAGAATATGACGAGCCCCGCAAAGAATGAAGTAGCTATATTCGATACTGCCACGATTAGGGAGTCTCTGAAAGAATAAGTTCATTGGAACCAAGTGATAGGTTCTAGGCGAGAACAAGTGTAAGATTTTTCTGTCATGACCCCTTTCTATAGTGCGAGCGAGATGGAATAATATCCATCTCCCTCGCACTTTTTCTTATGTTACCATGAAAGAAATATTATTTTATTTTAAATGACGCTTCATTTTAATAGACGCTAGTATTCATTTATTTGTATTTAATAATCAATAATATAATACGTTTATGAATAATAATATACTACGAAAGGAACTTTGTTCCAACCGAGTGTTCCATGACACTTACGCATGTTTTTTATTTTAAATGACGCTTCATTTTTATAAACGCTAGTAATTCATTTATTTGTTTTTGTTAATCAATAATATAATACGTTTATCAATAATAATATATACTACGAAAGGAACTTCGTTCCAATCGAGTGTTCCACGACACTCTCGCGTGTTTTTTTTTCTTGAGGCGCTTATTAATATTAAATCTGACATAATGGAGAATATATTTTTAACATTAATTATACAGTTCCGCGAGATATAGATATAGAAAAAATAGTCAGAGAGCGACACATTTTGAGCACGGATTTGACCCATCTAGCTATATAGCTCAAAGGTGTAGTTTACGAAAATTGTACAGGGAATGGCTAGTCTGCATGGCATGTACAGGTGGGACTAAAATATTTGTGTTAAAAAATATAACTGACCCAGCATGAAATAACACAAATTGTATTCTATTATCAATAATAAGCGTAATATATCGATTGCAGATTATTTGATCGTACGTCACGTATCTACAGGTTAATAAAATGTTAGATATGGAGATAGATTGGCAAATTTTATACAGGTTAATAAAATGTTAGATATGAAGATAGATTGGCAAATTTTATGTTCACAAGTTATGGTTACTCTTACTTACATATAACAGTTATTGGAGAACTTATTGTATGATGAAAGTGTTATGAGACCTCCCCAAGCAGGACTGAGCGCGAAGAATATCTGAACTGCTGCGTCTCCCCATACCTTAAAATATTAATTAATGTTACCATTTATTTAAAATAATTTTTTTCATTTTATCAAAAAGTATTATTTAAAAAGCAAATTCAACGTAAGCAAGATATGAGAATAAAGATATTTGTCAAAGCGTTCGAAGCTTATGTTTTTGTTACCTGTGCGTTAGCCAACTGGCTAAAATCGGGGGTAAGATAAAACAAGATTCCAGTAGACGCTCCCGGTAAAGTTACGCCACGAAAGAATAGGATAACCAGCACCACATATGGAAACAGTGCAGTGAAATATACTACCTGAAACCAAGAAAATTCCAATTTTATTCGAAAGCCGGTCTTTGTTTCAGTAATGTGGACGCTGAATGTTATAAAACGTGTCATATAACGTGAGATAAATGTTTTATAACTCGAACGGCAGAACTACAAACGACAATGTCCTACGACAATGTCATATAACATTGTTATATTGTTATTCTAATGTGTACAGTATTGTTATATGTTGCAATGTTGAAAAACAATGTTACATAATGTGGACGTGTTATGAAACAAAAGTTATACAACAAGTTACTTAATCTGTACGCACCCTTAGAATAACAATGAAATATAACAATGTTATATGACATTGCCGTTTGTCGTTCTGCAGTGCTTTTCACAATGTCGACACGAGAAGACGTTTTGCTAGCTGCTGTAGCGACTCTTGAACTTTTAAATAACAAAAGAAAAAACACATAGATACAGAGTTAACATAGTTCATTCACTAGAGAAAAATACTCTCGAGTTATATAACATTTGCGTCACGTTATATAACATTCATATTACTGAAACATGTTATATACATACGATGTTTTATAACATGTTATGTTATATAAAACGCACGCACCGTTAGATTTACCTATTCGGACAATTTTTACTAAATAAACATATCAATAAAACGTGTACTGGCAGTGTAAGAATACTCGTACTGCAACCCCATATCGTATTGAAGTTATCGTAAGAGGCGACAGAGGGAAACAAGCCAGGTGATGTGAAGCAGCATTTTTCTGATTACAACTATAAAATTAAAAACTGCAGTTGCCAACATGCCTGCCAAGCGTGACAGTTATAACAATTAAACCCCATGAAGAAAGGTACAAAAGGGAAGGCCCTCCAGTTCCCAGCGGCCCTGCTATTCTTAGCTATGGTAACGGCGGGGCTGGGGATGCTAAGAATTTCTGGTGGATGTTTGATTGCCACCTACTCACTCGACTCGACCTGTTATCATTTAAGGCACACAGTTAAACTAGGATATCATAGGACTATCTGTTGTCCGAGGGAAGGGGAGGATACGGTAATCCTCCGGCTTTCTTCTATCACCGGGAGGGTGATAGAAGATAGCCGGAGATTCATCGCCAAGAACGACCTGGTTTACGCACGAATTTCGGCACATCCTAATAAGGAGGTGGAAAAGATGTATCATATCTCTAGAGCCATGCAATAAACACAAACGGTGAGCGGAAGATAGGAAATTCAGAATAGGGCAACGGACCCCAAGGGATCACACACTGCACAGCTGGCCGATATCATGGAGAAGAGGAACTCTTTATAATGAGCTCTTTCTTCCAGAAGTGGAACCGACGGTTTTACGAAAATAAAATTGACTTCATGATGATTGTGATGATTCAGTGATGTCTCGGTGCTCGCGAAAGTGAAAACTGGTAGCGATTACTGAATGGTTAGAGGCACACCGAAATTTAATGGAAGGTTGAATAGGTCACGTCGAATGAAATCAACGCTCTATCGTGCTCTTATCCAAAGGCCCAAAAACTTTCAACTCTAATTACCAAATCATTTTTAGTGCTTAGAAAACTGCAATAGAATGTCTATGCATTGCAGTAGAATATCTATGCGGTCGGAGTCGAGTTCTGCAAGATCCGTCGCAGAAGGACCCATAAAGACGCCAATTACGCTCTTAATTTTATGACTGTTAGACGTGGATATTAATCTGCAGTCTTTGCCAGAGATCTGTCCGCCAGAAATAGCCATATGTCGAAGCTGAAGACCAAATGTAGTAACATCGTTTCCGGTACACCTGAGATTTTGAGTGAGATTGAGAGGTTATACGGGCCATCGTTGGAGCCACACGCAAGTGTGAGTACAGATCCGAGAACAAGTCTTATCCGACACTATTCCGATGATATCTTGGATGACAGTCTGAGTGAGATTAGGATGGCTCTCCATCACCTTAAAAACGGCAAGGCTTCGGGTGAGGATGGAATTACCGCAGAGCTTTTGAAAGCGGGTGGAAAACCAGTACTTGAAGTCATTCAGAAGCTCTTTAATTCCGTCCTAGATGGTGGGATTACTCCGGAGGCGTGGAGCAGAAGTGCGGTGGTCTTGTTCTTCGAGAAAGGCGACAGCGCTCTCTTAAAAAACTACAGACAGGTTTCCCTCGTTAGCCGCGTCTACGTGTTGTTTTCGAGAGCCATTACGAATCGTCTCGCACGCCGACTCGACGACTTCCAGCCTCCCGTACAAGCCGGTTTCCGAAAATTCATAGATACAAACATAGATACATACATGAAATGAATAAAACTAAAGAGTACAATCTGCCACGTTGTCTTTTGTAAGTGGACTATTAGAAAGCCTTTGATTCCGTCGAAATTTGGACGGTGCTACAGTCCCTTCAGCGATGCCAAGTTGACTGTCGGTATATCGAAGAGCTGAAGGGTTTGTACAGTAGGGCTACGATGGCTATCCGAGTACAGAACTAGTGTACGAAACCTATACAAATGCAGAGAAGTGTAAGACAGGGTGACGTAATAACCCTGAAACTCTATTAGATTATATAGAGCCATGCTACAGCTATATGAATTGTATAGTTGTACCAAGAATGAGTCGGTTCGACCGAGGAAGGACCACGCTCTCACAGAATACCAGCGTCAAATAGCAGCTTAATGCTGTTGAGTTTCTTATGGTAAGCGTAGAGAACCGGAGACCCTTTTTACGGAAAAGAGGGATTCCAACTTATTCGTCACTGCTGATAACGCATCTGCATTTTGGTTCGCAAACGAGGATAGATGTAGATGTCTATGGGCCACAGCAACTACTTACCATCAGGTGGACTGTGTGCTCGCTTGTCACCCTTACCCTATAATAAAAAAACTCCTTACCGCAGCATTGGAAGACGTTTTCAAGCTAGTGGACAGGAAAGGATACGATATTAACATCAATGGTGAGTACATCACACACCTTCAATTTGTCAACGAAATAGTCCTTTTAACAGAATCTCGGGAGGACCTAAGCATTATACTTTATGACCTCATTAGTGTCTCCCAACGGATAGGTCTTAAGATGTCCATGGACAAAACAAAAGTCATTTGTAACGTCCAGTGTGACACATATGCCCGTAGTTGTTGTGAGCACTAAGCTCGAAGTTGTTGACGAGTAGGTATGTCCAACTTCGACAGAGACGTCAATCGACGAATTCAACTCGGCTGGGCAGCGTTCAAGAGATTACGACAAGCATATTTTCGTCAGGCATACCTCAAAACTTCAAAACAAGATTGTACAACCAGTGCGTGTTGCCAGTGATGACTTATGGATCTGATACGTGGTCCATCACTGCTGGCCGTATGAGGACGCTCAAGGTTGCTCAGCGAGCTATGGAAAGGGTATCTCTGAGTGATAGACTAAAAAAGAGGATATCCAAAGTAGAACAAAGTAACCGACACAACTCAACAGATTAGTAAGCTGAAGTGGCAATTGGTCGGCCATATAGTTCGAAGAACCGACAACAGATGGGAAAGATAGGTTCTCGAGTGGCGGCTTCGTACCGTCAGGCGAAGTGTAGGGCATCCCCCACTAGCTGGAGTGACTACCTGCTAAGACATAGAGAAAGTCGATGGATGCAAGGGGCTTAGGACCGTTCTTTGTGGCATTCCTTGGGGGAGACCCATGTTCAGCAGGCGGCTTATGAAGGGCTCTAATGATGATTATGATGACAGAGAATTGCTTCGATGTAAGTACATACTTCTTCCATAATTTTTAAAAGGTACTTAGCCACTTATGATATTCAAATACGTACTCACAATTAGAGACAAGTTATGTAATAATGATTTTATAGACATTATGTAGGTGCTCCGAATGCTATAGGTACAATAATAATAAATAGGTATAATAAGTAAGTTCGCAAGAGGTACATAAGATAAGGTACATAAGAGTAATATGGTCACCTTAAACTTTGCCGCCCAATGAAACCAATACTAGGAGGAGGACAGTGACAAAAATACAAAGTCGTATACTATTGTTACGGCCTACAGCTGCCCCTGTAAAGATCGTCTTGGCTGGGGCCCATAGCAGCTTCCTCGACGGGCAGACGCAAGTCGGGCCCAATGGCCATATGGAAGAATTTTCTATAATACTAAGCTATATGGGAGAAGGCTAGGGAAATATAGTACGTACCTGTTTCCGACTCTTAGATCGCCCCAAGGCTCGGTCAGGCCGTAAGTGGGTGTGAGGTGCATGGCAAGTAGTGTTTAGTGATGTGTAAATGTCTGAGACCTGGACCAGCTTAGGCGACCAGCAGCGGCCGAGTTCCAGGCTGCCCCACAATGCTGCATCGCTCCAGCAGGCTCCACCGCTGGACCATTTCTTTCTTCATTGTCACTATTTCAGTCTATTAGCTTCATTGTACATTTAACTAACTTAAACTCGCCTAATTCCACATTCATCGTAGAATCGAACACGTGATACCCGACACAGTAAGGACAGTAGTTCGAAATTCGACATTCAATGTCCCGGATTCACTTATCACAAAATTATAAATAGGGAACTAACGCGATCTCTTAATGGGTCATACGGTTCAGCGTTAAACACAACTAAGTTCCTTCATTCGACACCAAAACACCACGCCACGAAAAGAATTCAAATACGCCTCATTGACACGTAAACTAACAAACCAGCCAACACACAAAAAAGGGCACTTAACGCGACGGCACAATTATAATGATTTCCAGACAATCAACCGGGAGACGCTCTCGACCAAGGAATGTGCGGTTCGAATCCTAGACCGTATATGTACTCGGCGCGCGCGTGCACAATTCCGCATCACCCGAACAAATTAAATATTGCAAAATTCACATATCCACGGAGCGAAGTAACACGCACTAAATCTACCATCTGGACCCTACCGTTCGCGTGAACTTCGGCCGCGATAACCGAGATACGCGGGTTCCCCGCATCGCGGCCAGCGAGCTAACGCTTCTTCGCCCACGCGTCGAGCCACTGCAAGCCGCACACGGCCGCCCCACCTGGCGGCGTTTTTTCCATCTACATACCATCGGGTGACGCGCCAGCTCGAACGCAATTGGATGGCGTTCAAAAATGACCAAATTTGGGCATAAACAACTATAACTAATATATTAAGAAAAAAAATGGTTAATAACCTTTTGCAATAATTAGGAACAATTCGAAAAATCAACATAAAAAAATTAAATGCACTACACTATACTAAAACCGACTAAAATATTTACTACGATGTCCAATGATAAAATGGCGTCTATAAAGAAGCGCCCATTTGACCCTTTATTATTTGATTGACTGATGAAGAGCTATCGTACCACAAACCCATCTCTGCAAACAATGCTGTAGTTTTTGGATTATAAGAAAGTGACCATATTAACCGGATGACCATATTACCCTCACGAACTACAATAAAATAAAGTTTTCATGTGTTTTGACAAATTGATGAATAATACCTTTCCTGATGATTGGACTCCTTTAAACAGGCAGAGAAATACGATTAACCAGGCAGCGAACAGACACAAAGCCATGCCTAATCGTATTTGGCCAGTTTCCTCAATCCCCGAGGATAGTCCTAAAACTTGGTTTCTGAAAATTAAAAAATACTACTGTTAAAAGAATAAATGACCCGATAATATATCAAGAAAATGGTTGCGGAGCGGGAAATCGCTTTTAAAAACTTACAATAAAGAAAAGAAAGAAAAAAGAAAGGAAATAGAAAAATAAGAATACTAATAAATTTTCATACATTATTATGTATAGAATAATAGCGGCCGGATGCAGTTATCATTTCTTGCAGCTACGACAATCCCGAATTAGGCGTGGGTTAATTAACGTGCTAGGTACCTCCTTAGAAGGTTGCTGTGTGTTTTAAAATTTAAACGATGGAGCTGATCCCCTTTTCACCCTGCAACTTTTCTCTTTTGCAATAGATGTACAGTTTTCATATAATATCGATCTCAATTTAAATTTTTGAAAATTTAAAAATACAGTGTTAAACTCTATACAGCGACCACTGAAGGGATTGGGCATTTTATGGCGTTATTGAGGATTGTCGTTAAATGGAGAGAAGAAAAGTCAATACTATAACATTATTTACTAATAAAGTATAAAAAATTTACATAAAATAAAACAAACAATAATATTGATACAAATAACAACGCTTATTGCGTATAATCTGTTGGAACGAAGTTCCTTATCGCACGGTACGAATTTGGCGGATAGCGGCTAGGCGAGAAAAACGTTTCGCAATTTCCGTCACGACCCCCTTTCCATAGTGCGAGCGAGATGGAATAATAACCAACTCCCTCGCACTTTGTCTTATCTTGCCATAAAAGCACAAATTTTTTGTTTGTTATATATATATTAATTTGTATTTGTTAATCAATAATATAATACTTTTATCAATAATAATATACTGTGAACGGAACTTCGTTCTAACAGAGTGTTCCACGACATTCACGCATGTTTTTGTCTTCGTCTGACGTTATTTGCTGCACCAGTATTTTAATTGTATTTTTTTCATATCTTGGGGTACTGCGGGTTCAACTTGGTTATACAAAAAATATTTTTCTAATATTTCACTGCATCGAGTGCTTGTTTAATACTTGGTGAATGCTCAGGATCATCCGTCTCATCTTCTTCATCCCCATGTTGTTCAGTTTTACTCATCGAGTCCAACATTTTTTCATCTATAGGTAAAGCTGTTGTAGCCAAGCTGTCGTCTACTTCTATGTAGGTTTATAGACTTTCAGTGAAATTTTGTGGCAAGTTGAATTGTTGAACTCTGAAACTTATAGTTTCGGAGAAATTTATAGTATAATTTTCCTTACAATTTATTTATTTATTTATTTTTTATTGCACTCCTTAATCTAAAAGGATACAAAGGGCAGACTTAATGCCTTAAAAATTTATGGATTTTTTTCTACACTTTTTTCAAATTGTAAGGGGTTAGAGTGTAAATGAGATAAGTGAGGAAAGCTATGAGTAAGAGTTGATGTGTAATACGACATTTTTGTGAACGAGTATATTTCGTTGTGGCAATTATGAAAATGGCTATATTTCGTTATATGTTAACTTCTAACAAACGCATAAATATTTATTAGCAACATATGATTAGACGCCATCTTAATCACCCATCATCTCTTCAGTTGTCGTTCGGCGCTAAAATTGGCCAGTCATGAATAATAAGTTTTCTGAGACGAGTGTTTTTTCGCGCAATTTTTGTCGTTACAATTACCCCAACTACTTTTCCTCAGCAACCTGGTAAGTTAAATCATATATATCTTTATATATAAAAATTACGTATTACATTGTTTGTCCGCGATGAACTGCTAAACCACTGAACCGATTGCAATGAAATTTTGCACACTGTGTGCAGTTTGGTCCAACTTGAGAGATAGGATAGTTTTTATCCCTATAAGTGACCCTCAATATTTTTTTATTACGAATTTAGGAATTTTTATAGGACACAGGATCGTCGGGGGCAGAACAACGTCTGCCTGGCCAGCTAGTATATATATAAAAATTAAGTGTCACATTGTTTGTCCGCGATGAACTCCGAAACCACCTAACCGATTTTAATGAAATTTTGTAGATATGTATTGCTTGCTCCAACTTGAGAGATTGGATAGTTTTTATCCCGATAAGTGACTGTCAATATTTTTTATGAATTAATAAATGTTTTTAAGGACAAAGGGTCGTCGGAAAGGTCAGAACAAAGTCTGCCTGGCCAGCTAACGAAAAATAAATTATTTTTGAGATAGGTAATCGTTTTTGTGCAAATGTTAAGCTATATAATACGTCCTAACTTCGTTTCTAATATTTGTTCGGTATAACAATAGGTCGGGGAAAAATTTACATCATATTTTCTTTGTAAGAAAAATCTCTTTGGTTGTACTGTTTGTAATCACTGCTTTTAATATCAATACTTATAGGACATTAAGAAAAAGAAAAATAAAAAGTTAGAAGCACTCTCCCGCCATAAAAAGTAAGAAACACTCTCCCGCCATTTTTCAATTAAATATATATATTATAAATTAATTGTTTCAAATCCATAAATTTTTAAGGCATTAAGTCCGCCCTTTGTATTCTTTTAGATTAAGGAATGCAATAAAGAATAAATAAATAAATACATTGTGAGGAAAATTATATTATAAATTTCTCCGAAATTATAAGTTTCCTCGCCACCTTCTTCATAGGGGAGGTCTGTGGGTTACCTTTTTCATGACAGATACAACAATTACACGGCCCCGGTAGTACAATCTGAAGTAACAATATGGTAGGTAAAAATATCTGGTAGGATCTACTGAGTGAAATGCTTTCAAAGAGTTGAATGATTTCAATTCCTTCCTCCTCTTCCATCATCGGATGCTTGACCAGATCACTTGTTATAGATATACCACGCTTTGAACCAAGAGAACTTTGAGTAGAATAATTTGCAACCCGCCCCAAAGTATGAAGAGGAGTCTTCAATGAGATTAAATTTTCAGTATTTTAAAATATACAAATTTTATGAATAGTAAAAAAATAAGTCTCTAGTAAACAAATATAATTATTAATTTTTACACTTACGTAAAATATTCTTCAGCGGGAGGTTTTCTTAATACAACTTTGGCGAGGTGAGTAATATTGTGGAGGGCTGCATAACTTTGATTGACACATTGTCTTAAATAATAAGTTCCGTTTATTGCTTCACATTCATCGGCTTCTTCGTATGAATAACAAACTGGAACAATTTTTTAAGATGATGATTGATATAAAAAAAATTAAGACTGAGATGGAGGGTGATTAGAACTGAGGTGACAAGCGAACACACAATCCACTTGATAGCTGCAGCAGCTAGTAGATGTTGTAGCCCATAAGCAACTTGGTCATCCTCGATTAAGAACTTCGACGGCTCCGTGGCGCAGTGGCTTAGCAATGAGTTGTTGCGCTAGGGGCCGCGGGTTCGAATCCCGCACGGAACAAGAATTTGTATGGCCTACAAATAATTGTTCCGGGTCTGGATGTTTGTCCTCGTGCAATCTATGTCTGTAAACTGCCTCCATGATAAGGGTAAAAATCCTAGTGTGGAGGTAACGTTTTTTTATAAAAAAAAAACTAAAGTACAGTTGCTTTGTCAACTCGAGGAACAAAGTTGGCAGTAGTTAACTGTAAACAGGGATTTCAAGTCTCGTCCCTCACCGCAAGAAACACAGGACAATATACTGCTATTTCATGCTGGTGTTTAGTGCAAGCGTGGTCCTTATCTAGTCGAGCCGACTCGTTCGTTCCTGCTGCCACCATAATATGCTGCAACGTGGCTCTACCACATATAACTAAGCCAACTCTATATCAAATTACTTTACAATGACTTATTTAGTTTTATTTGTTGCGAATTGTAGGATTAAATTGTTTATACAATAATTATAACTTATTTTTTACCAAAAGAGAACGACGAAGAGATATTGCACGTCTACAGAAATTTGTAAGACCCATTGTAATTATACAGGGTTATTTTTCAAAGAGTAGCCAAATTTTAAACTTAAGTTCAAATAATAATACACCGTTATTGCAATTTTTAAAAATACGAGTAAAAAAGGGTTCTACTTTTACTTGAAATTATCCCAAATTGAATGTGATACTCGTATATGGGTAACACCTACGCGTACGTGCGCTCCTCTGTGCGATTCAATTCAAAACGTTTTTGCCAACGAATTTAGCGTGAGTAGTAAAATAGTAAGCGTTAGATATTTATGAATGACAATCAGTTAAAATAATACATTACTACGCATTTTGAATTTAAAAGATAAAAAGGACAATGTTTGAGATTTTTTTATTAATTTTTCTTTACCGTTTGCCTATATTACTTATTCTGAACCTTCTCTGCAAATGACTGGTTATTGCAAAGTAACCCTGTATAACTGACTATATGATTACAAACTGATTTAAAAATTGGAATGCTTAATAAAAAGATATGTCACTTACATTCAGTGCTCCATTCAGCGTTGCAATTCTGCCAAGGCAATTGATAGAAGATACTCGCGAACGATACAGCCATGTAATAGATAGTCCACGCTATAATGAGATTGTAGTAGAGCATGACGATACTTGAGACGATAACCATCCCGTATCCGAGTCCACGGAACAAAGGACAGAATCTGTTGTAGACTGCAACCGGTCCGAGTGCGGCGTATTGACCAAAGGAAAGCTCCATGAACATCAACGGCAAACCAGCTATTATCAGCATTATCGTGAAAGGAATCAGAAATGCGCCTGAAATAAATCAAAGTATATAATTTAACATAAAGTAAAAACTGACTTCTAATTAATAAAAAAAGAAGTTATTTATTTGCTATCCTCGGGGTGAATTTTTTTCTCCACATTTATATGGGACCACTCATAAAGTATAACGTTTTTAATAATCAAATACAAGAATCATCAAAATTGGTTCACAATCTGCGAAGATATTGCCTAACATACATACAAAAAATCATGCGTGAGTGTCGTGGAACACTCTGTGGAACGAAGTCCTTTTCGTAGTATATTATTTTTGATAAACATATTATGAATTTATAATAAACGTAAATGAATTAGGCAGGATAAGAAAAAGTGCGATGGAGATAGATATTATTCCATCTCGCTCCCTTATAGCCGCCAAGGCCGTCTACTCTACGTCAGAAGGGATCGTGACGGAACTTCGTTCTAAAAACATACACTCGAGGTGAGAACCTCCACCTTTTTGAAGACGGTTAATAATGTGTAAAATGATGTTCCAAAATACGATGATTGTGAGGCATTGTGATTCATATCGTACCAATAAATGAGAACTGATATTTTTATTCAATTTAAATTTAGTTCGAAAGCTTGATACCCAGTTGGCAACATCGGGACACTAACGACATTACGAACAGTAAAATTACGTGAAGTGCACAAGCGTACATCTGTGTTTTCACTTTTCACCTCCGACTTCCGGTTCACTGGCATAACCATAGTGAATAAAATATAAACTTTGGGCATGACATTCCGGACAGTAAAATTACCGTGTAGCCACTGACCTCTATACATGTATGACATAATTAGGCGATTTTATTTTCGCCATTTTGGCGCTGACAGCAGAAGAGAACGTCCACGGAATTAACAATAGAGATAAGACAGTGTGACAAAATATATCGATAAAAATTCTATACCCAGGCCTATCCGTAACGTCCATTCTATTTATGTATCATATTAATATAATGCCATACAATAAATAAATGTATTAATTAATACCTAAGCATTAGACGCAAGCTTTATACCTGATATAAAACCAAGGTCAACGCCGCGTTGGTCTATCTACGTTTTTATTCGTAACTACGTTCGCGAGCCTTAAATATTAAATTAGTACTGGAAACTATTAAACTGGAGTAACTATTCAAAATAAAAATAAAAATATAATTTCGCAAAGAATTTATTGTTAACCGTTCATTCAGTTCTAGTATTATATAAAATAAATCAGCTGCTAAAATAACGCCTATTCTAATTATCTACAGATCTGTCTATAGATAGAATATAGTTTATTCTATCTATAGACAGATCTATTTTCCAATATATAAAAAGTAATGTTTGTTCTTTGTTTGGTCATCAGATTGCGGTATAACTTTGTCAACTTATTGTTTGCACTTGCACGAAGATTATGTGCATAGTACAAAAAAAATATAATTTAAAAAAACTTAAATTATCATACAGTCCTACTCTCCGCGGTATAGTACCAAGAACGCTGGCTTCGTTTCCTATCTGAATGGTTATACTGAGCCTTTCAAATATAGTATATATAGAAAATAAGTAGCCCTCTTATCACCAGCGGAGACGATCAGTCGCGGATAGTTTTTTAGGAACTTCACCGCACATGTACTCCACTCCAAGTCTACAGCAAACGGCACAAATATGTACTCATCTGTCAGACTCATATTTGGGCTACTGTCCTAGTTCAGTTGCCTCTGATACCACCCCTGCTTTAAACGAGGTACCACTGAGATAAGAGGCTACCAAAGTGTCTTGGCAAGTAGTATCCCACACTAAAGCTTTGTCTCTCTCCCAAGCATCCAAAGTCATACTGTCGGGTCTCCCTCCTCCCATCATCTCTAAATATTCTACAAAGCTCTAAAACCAAGGGAACATTTATACAAACACGAGCTCTTTAGATGACATCATTCAAAGAACTGTGAAAGTTTAAAATAAGGAGATACGATACGATTTAAACAACACAACAGACTTTGGCATATTATGTCAATTTTAGTTCCCGGTACGAACAATGTCGGCGCTTCAAATCGACGCAAACATTTTGTAGGGAATAGCTAGTCCAGCGTACTAAAATACATGTGTTCCCGTATACACAGTACCCTTGGACAGCCTTGGCGAGAGACCAGCAGGGCTATTCACAATCGTCTCGGAAAGCAAAATCGACTCGGATTCGATAACTTCTCGCACCGAAACCAATAAACGCTATTAACATTTAACGTTCGGATAAAGGTCACTTAGATACATCCTATAACTATTGTATCGTCATTTAGTTACATGCATTTACGAATTTTGTAGATAAATAGGCTTTTGTAATTTTTTAGAGTAACGCCTGCACAAAAACATAATGCAATATTTTGGAGTTAGCCATTGATATCGAATATAAAAAATATATAATTTAACTATATAATAAATAACAAAAAACTGAGATATGTCTCGTTTCTGTCGAGTCTGGGTTTTTTTCTATGGGGCGTTTTTTGACGTTTGTTTTCGATAATTGTGACAGTTTGCATCGGAAACTTTACGAGAGCTCTGAGGCTGGCGAAAACTTTTCGAATATTGATGATTAGAAGAGATAAATAAACCCTTTTAATTATAAGGTAGGTAACAAAAATTAATTACAATTATCTATAAGACGTATTTTCATATAATTACTTCAATATTTGCACTTAATCGTAAAGCTGAATTTTTGTGAAAGGTGTGTTTTTATAAGTTTTCTATCACAAATATATATATATATATATATATATATATATATATATATATATATATATATATATATATATATATATATATATATATATATATATATGCTGCTTTGTGAAACGAGACATATCTCAGTTTTTTTGTTATTTATTATATAGTTAAATTATATATTTTTTATATTCGATATCAATGGCTAACACCAAAATATTGCATTATGTTTTTGTTTAGGCGTTACTCTAAAAATATACAAAAGCCTATTTATCTACAAAATTCGTAAATGCATGTAACTAAATGACGATACAATAGTTATGGGCTGTATCTAAGTGACCTTCATCCGAACGTTAAATGTGAATAGCGTTTATTGGTTTCGGTGCGAGAAGTTATCGAATCCGAGTCGAATTCGCTTTCCGAGACGATTGTGAATAGCCCGGCAGAATACATGTGTTCCCGAAAGAAGGCGAACTAATTTCTCTCTTGAGAAGAATCGGCTACTGCCGATGTGATCTGACTTTGCCTAGGCAATGAGGCAATGACTCCTTTGAAGAACCTGGATGCGGCATTGTTCTTCTTTTTAAGAGCGTTAGTGTTTGCATCCCGGGACGTCGATGCGACCACCCAGGCGCGGTAGCACTACTACTTATAGCGTGATGCAATTTTACAGGACTGACCAAACCATGGCTGGGATCTATCTACGATGGGCACCACAGACGATGGAATAAAAAATTCCATTCCCTGAAATACCAAACGAGAGACAGAATCAGCAACAACGTTGGGATCATCCGGCGAGAAACAAACGTTATACGTGGTAGAGCCATGCTGCAGCTATATCTATACAAATAAATAAAATTGAAGTGTCTGTTTGTAATGTCAAAATTACAGCTTTTTACTAAATGCATATAAAAGTATATACGGTACTAATAACAAAAATACAATTTTTAAAGTTTTTGTCTGTCTGTCTGTCTGTCTGTCCGTCTGTCTGTTTGTTCCGGCTAATCTCCGAAACGCTGGACCAATTTTGACGGGATTTTCACTGGCAGATAGCTGATGTGACGAGGAGTAACATAGGCTACTTTTAGTTTAGAAAAAGAATTAGGGTTCCGCGCAAAAAAATTAAAACCACAAATAACACGCGGGCGAAGTTGCGGTGAACAGCTAGTTAGTAGTATAATTGTAACACGAATGGATCGGCTCGACCGGGGAAGAACCACGCTCTCACAGAATACCAGCGTAAAATAGCAGCTTAACGCTGCTGTGTTTCGTATGGTGAGTGTAGAGAACCGGAGACCCTTTTTACTGGAAATGAGGCATTCCATCTTAGTCCTCACGGGTGACAACGCATCTGCATTTTGATTTGTAATAAAGGATAGATGTAGATGTCTATGGGCCGCAGCAACCACTTACCATCAGGTGGACTGTGTGCACGTTTGTCACACTTATCCTATAAAAAAAACCAGCCCTAATTGATAGGATGCAAATAAAGACCGCATCCTATCCTAATCAGCCGACCTATAGTGTCATAAACGGCGGCAGCCTGCATAACGCAACCGCGTTGTTGGCGTGTGTGGCTCCATACTCCGGATGAGAGAATGGTCCGATGAGCCAAGAGGAGCATCGACGGAGACCTGATATCCATCCTGATGAGAGGTCACCAGAAATTCCAACAGAAAAGGTGCATGATCCTTTACATCTAGGATACGCGTAGGCGAAGTAACCAGTTGTCAGATTATATGCTAAGGCAAAGTCATAAACAGATCTCCCTTCACGATCAGTTAAGCGGGAACCGAGCTATTCAGTGTGTTAGGCGTTAAAATCACCGATGGGACATGTTGTAACACGGACACTACAGCCATTTGGATGTGGTCCACGTGGACATGGACCTATAGCCTTCAAGACTCTAGAGACGTCAAGAATAGTTATTCTCTCTAACGTACACGCAAACTCTAGCGCGAGGCACAAAGAAGTGTTCCAATTTTGAGAGAGAGGAACCTGCGCCTCGGTCCGAAAGAGCAAGGCTAGTTTCATCTTCTCCAGATGACAATGGACGGCGTTAAGGTTCGAGTGAAGTCCCCTGATGTTGCAGAAATTCACGAATAGCGTGGCAGGGGTCGCCTTTGTTCGGTTGCTCATCTTGCCCCGAGCAGTGTTAGTGTCAAGCGGAATTCTGGTCCCTCCTCCCCAGAGTACGTGGGTTAAACTGAGCACTCACGCTTAGGAAGAGTAGGAAAGTTTGGGTGTGGATTCTCCATTACCAGGGATGCTGGTAGTCTTCTGGGGTAGTGTCTTAATTAATT